TCAAAATCTTTTTAGAAGACCGGAAATAATTAAATTAATGATGCTACCAAACAAATTATTCACATTAGATAGTAAAAAGACCTGGGTTTGGACAGTTAAAAAAAACTTAAAAAATAAAAATAAATCACCACTGTCAAAAAATAAAAAACTACTATTTTTAAATTGATATTATCGAAACAGTAATATTTCAAGTAAATTTTCAAAAGAGACTATTTTTTTAAATTCATATTAATAAACAAGAACTAACATAAGCTAGTAACGAACACATAACTTCGGAGTGTATGTCTAACTTTCCTTTTCCTAAACGAGGGTAAAGACCGATAAATTGGCGATAATTTATCTTCTTCAGACAACTTTGAGGTTTGCTGTTTACACTCCATTCCAACACACATTTTTGCCATCTTTACACAGTGCTCTATACTATCTGCTGTGCAAAATACACCTTTTACACCCTTTTCATATGTCTTTCAACATAAAAGTCAACATAATGCCATTCGTCATGGTTAAATTGCTTGATAAACCTAAAGTTTCTACAGAGGTAAATGAAGAAAACAAAGTTGATAATATGATCATTTCAAAATTAAAATAAAAGCTGATCGTTTACAGTGACACCACTTTTAAAATAAAATGTTGACGATTTGTGGTTGTGATATTTTAATTTTTAATTTCACAATTTGTAAATATATAATCCCATAGATAGCTATGCGTTTTCCTCTGTAGTCTTCTAATTAATTATTGACATTTAAAGGATAAATAATAATCTAATATATAAAATTCTCGTGTCACAGTGTTTGTCTGCAAACTCCTCCGGAACGACTTCACCGATCGTTATGAAATTTGGTGTGTAAATTCTGTAAGTATGCGAATCGGACGTAAACTATTTCCCGTTTCGAAATTCTTAAAAGGGCTCCGCCCCAGTGGCTCTGGAGTTTCCCATGTTAACCTTATGAGAAATGGAATTAATGAATCTTAACAGCTGTTTCAATTAAACAAGTTGGTTCTGTTCTATGATGTTCAATAGCATTAAAGTTACAAGGATTACCAACAGGGTGCAGCACTATTATTTCTTTTACATTTATGAAAACAGCTAATTTGCAACCAAAAGGTGAGTGAGCGTAGCGAACGAACTTCAACCTGGAGGCGAGTGAGCGTAGCGAACGAGGTAATCTGAAGGCAAGTGAGCGCAGCGAACGAGCTCCAACCTAAAGGTGAGTGAGCGTAGCGAACGAGCTCCAACCCAAAGGTGAGTGAGCGTAGCGAACGAACTTCAACCAGGACGTGATTGAGCGATGCGAACGAGATCATCTTGAAAATTAAACGTAACGGTACTTTCTTTCCATCGGTCTGTCTTAGGGGAAACCTATAACTTAGGCGATACGAAGTTCGCCGGGTCAGCTAGTTTATAAATAAAAAGCTTTTTTAAAACAAAACGTTTTTAAACGCACTAAAAAGTAGAAAATAACGTTTATAAATATGTTGAGAGTATCAATACTTGTAAGATTTAAAACGAAAAACGTGGGGTGCATGCAATTGATAATTTACAATTACCTTCACCTATTGAACTAATGTATTATTATCAATTAATTGCATGCACCCAACGTTTTTCGTTTTAAATCTTACAAGTATTTATACTCTCAACATATTTATAAACGTTATTTTCTACTTTTTAGTGCGTTTAAAAACGTTTTGTTTTAAAAAAGCTTTTTATTTATAAATTATTTTCAACTTTTTAGTCTTTAATGTGTAAATATATTAAGTATATTTTATATGGCCTGTTATTATATAACCAAAACTTGTTATTATCTCTAATCAGATGTTTTATCTTGACTTTAAAATGCTTGTTTTATATTTTTAGAATATATCCAGAGCAGAACTTGTACCTCTTAACCTCTGCTCTTCGAACTGTCAAATTTAAGTATTTACAGCTGACTTAAATTAATTGATATGTTTACATTCTTTCAAAATGTAAACATGGAAAATGTGGAAGCCCATGGGGCGTATCCCAAGGGAAATATTAAAATTAAATTATATAATATTGCATTTTCATCCATTTGTGAGATATGTTTCAAATTTCAAGTCTCTAGCTCATCGGGAACTTCGTTTAAGATTGATATCAAAATTTGTAGGAAAGCGACTAGCGAGCTGATAAAAACAAGCCCATGGGGCGTAGCCCAAGGGAAATATGAAAATTAAATGATAAAATATTGCATTGTCATCCATTTGTGAGCTATGTTTCAAGTTTCAAGGCTCATCGGGAACTTAGTATGAAATCGATTGCAAAATTTGTACCGGACAAAAAAGCGAGCTAATAAAAACGTTTTAAAAAGAGAGACACTGACGAGATGTACCCCTTGCGTCTGTAAAACAGCTGGGAGGATGTAATATTTTATTAACAGCTGTCCACAGTGGCGCTGACTCCAAACTAACAACAAAAGAGTATAACTCATCCTATTCTATACAAATTAAAAAAGTTTAATTTATTCTTGAAACCTAAAACAGTCGATTTCTACATGATAATTTAAATATTGTAGCGTTTGATGTCTTTAGTTGTAGATTATATGCTAAATAGGGTACTTTCCTGTTAAAGGGAACATTCATTATCATCGATGATTTTTTTCTCGATGTATCGATATTAACAAATTGAAACATAGCAGCTGACAACTACGATGAATATTGTTCAGTATCAACAAACAATAATAAAATAAAACTGTTAAAAAAATACCTAACATATCTAACCAAACTTGTTTCAATATTTAAAAATTCCGTGTTTAACTTGCCTTTTCTGGTATCAAACAGAGTTTTTAAATGGTACAGCAAGTGTGGTTGGTTATGTTAGGTTAGCTTAGAACAGTTTCATTTCTTAATCCATATAATAGACTATTTTAGCCTAAAAAGATCAGTTGTCAATTTGTAATGGATCGGAAAACAAAAATAGGTATCGATATATCGAAAAATCAACGATAATAATGAATGTTCCCTTTAACAGGAAAGTAACCTAAATAGGTTAGTTGGCAACGAGATAAACTTATTTGTGAATGGTTTGGTTAAAAATGTAAATTTTCTTTTAAAGAAATCAAATATATGATTTTAATGAGGTGTTAACGATCACCCCAATCTAATTTTTACCATACATTTCTAATACATTTAAAATAAATTCAGTGTCAAATTGAATGTGTCCTATGATCCAAGCTCAAAGTAAGACTGATCTCATTGTCCCTAGGTACAAGAACTCAATCACAAAAAAAAAATAATGATTGAAAAATAAAACCAAAATTAATTATTTAAACCACTATAGAATTTTGAAAGATTGTAACGAACTCATATAGACATGGAAGTTATAGTTTAGTAGAAGCTCAAGAAAACTTTAAATAAGAAACAGAACCATGACCCTATTTTGTAATTAAGTGTATTAGTAAACTGGCTCTATGTTCCCTGGGGTTGATATACAACTTGAATACACTACATTTATAAGCTAAATATAAGTTAGTGATTCTAAACTATAAATGTATAAATGAAACTTGTTTGGTTAGGTAAAGGCATGTAGTGTTAAGAGAAGTGCCTTTTCGTGTCTTGAAGTCTAGGACGACTCTTCATTTTAATTTACTACTACAAACACCTCAGATTATTATACTATGCATTAAGTATTCATGTGATAGCATCAACGTAGAAAATACTCAGAATAACTGGACATTGAGTTTAATTTTAATAAACTTTCTAAGAAGTTCATCACCTATAGTTTGCACCTGGATCCACGTTCAGACTAACATTTACTCAATGATTCTTAGATATGTTGTGTAGAGTAAATAAAATAGTATGATTTTATAAAGGATTTTAATCCTGAGATAAAAGAAATTTGCCTAATTTTATAAATATATAAATATTTTATACCACAAGCAAGAAATCTACAGTGATTAATTCCATCGCAATAAGGTAAACGGATGATATACACTAATAAATCCATAAACAGCCAATCCAAAGTGATTAATTTAGTTTCTATAAGGATAACACAGGTGATCTATACCATTTATTTCGATGTAATTCATATTATTATACAAGTTGAGCATAGAAAGGCCACACACATTTTTTTCCTGTTAACACTAATTCTATGAACAGTCTAAGTAATGGCTCTACACCAATTTTCATGAATCTTTGAAATATTAAAATAATACGAAATGGTAAAATAAAAACAGATTTTCAGTGTAGAGCCACCTAATAAGGATATAAAAGACCTAATAGGTCAGAAATATCTGACCCTGCTCAGTGATTGCTTATGACTGGTTCTCGACCACTTTCAAATTGACGTAGAGTTTCAAGTTTCATGAAGATTTTATAAAAGATGGAGGATTTTTGTGAGTGCATAACATTTTCTCCTTAGCCCCAAGATGTAACATGGATAATTTGGGAATAGATCACCCTTAAATAAAACTTGATAAAAAACTATTGTCAAAGTATACCTTATAGAGGCTTCATACCATAAGTTCGACATAAGGTATAGCTGATAGTGATTGATTTTTCATCACATAATAATCCATTTTACAGCCCTAGCCTCCTCTATGACAAAATAAGGTCCCTTGACATCCCCATATTACTTATACATACAGGCTATACACGTTCGCCGAAGAAACGTTACTGACTAGTTTCATGGTAAGCATCACATTGCCAAAACTGATTAACATTGGTAAAATATCAGTATAGGTAAATAATTCACTTTAACACAGCACTCGTTAATAACGCAACAACATTGTTTTCACTAATGGCTACTATTGCAGCCAGGCCCGATTGGTACGATTGTGCTGCCTTTTTCCGTTAAGTATTATGTTCGTGTTGTGTTTCATGCAAAATTGTATATTTTTATGTATGAAGCTTTGCAACTAGAAATCACCGTATTTTAGACGAAAATTCCTCCACACGTTGGTAAGGAAGTGTGTTTTATAAATGATATTTTAATTTTTATTAACGATATTTTTCAAACTTAGGCTAATCATATGTTTGTCACTGACCTTGTAACCCAGGTAGGCCAGAAGCAGTGCCTCCGTGAGGCTGATTCCTGCCAGGATCACCTGGATGACCCAGAGGACCACGGGCCGTTTCACCCACAGGATGGCGTCCCAGTTGATGATGGGATTCTCCTGGAAAGCCTCCTCTGTCAGGTTGTAGGAGACCAGGAACTCTGACTTGTTGGAGGGCGTGCACCCGTAGCTGGAACACCACCGAGGCGATCAGGGAGATGAAGACCAAGTTAATGTGGGATATATAAAAAAAAAATATTTAATAAAATTTAAATTGTAGGAGTGTGTTATCAACAACCGAACTTGATCCTATCTATATATTATAATTTCTAAAGTGTTTTCTTTTTGACCGGTACGCCATAACTTCCTAATTTCTTCATCAATGTTTATAAATGAGGTGTCATTTTGAAGATCGTTTTACCCAATACACCGGGAAAATATACAAAATATAATGTGTAACACGAGTGAAAACTGCATTTGCTGCACTCGAGAAACCTTCCACACTCACCTATGGCTCGTGCGTAAACATTTCTCTCGTGTGCAGCAAAGTGCCACTTCGCCCACTCGTTACACAAATCACTATATCGATGTTGATTTTTCATTTTCCATTATTATTATAAAGGAACTATTTACAAAAGTCACCGGATATAAACTACTTGGAAAGAAATTACAACTGTTAAAGGGAACATTCATTATTATCGATGATTTTTTCGATATATCGATATTTTTGTTTACCGATCCATTACATATTTACAACTGATCTTGTTTAAGCTAAAATAGTCTAATATATGGATTAAGAAATGAAACTGTTCTAAGCTAACCTAACATAACCAACCAAACTTGCTGTCTTATTTAAAAATTCCTTTTGATAACAGAAAAAGGCAAGTTAAACATGGAATGATACACAACAAGTTTGGTTAGTTATGTTAGGTTATTTTGTTTTTAGAACAGTTTCATTTCATTATTGTTTGTTGATACTGAACAATATTTATCGTAGTTGTCAGCTAATACGTTTCAATTTGTAATATCGATATATCGAGAAAAAAATCATCGATAGTAGTGAATGTTCCCTTGAACAGGAAAGTACCGAAATGACTTAGTTAGTTAGCATGTATAAAATACGTATTCGGTAGCATAAAACATTTTTAAATTGGGGACTTGTTAAGTTGTATTGTGTTTGGCCTTGGATATTTTTACACTTTTCTTACAACATTATTAGCCGGGTTTTCAAAAGCTAACACGGTTGAATGATTTTCCATAGAATATACAACCGTTCTATTTCTAATAAGCTGTTTACACTATCATAGTTGATAACAAAACAATTGATTATTAATAACAAAATAGCTAAGGCTTTGAGTTTACTAATATATCTCCCTACCCCGAGGAATGCATATCCATCCTGAAAAGAGGCCCATAAATGAGTACTTTAAGTGTGTGCATTTGTAGTTCACTAGATATACCAATAAGGAAAAGTAACATATGATCCATTCCAAAGGTATCCTGTCAAACTCGCCAAGCAATAGTTAACTCCTAAAGAACAATATTTACTTCTATAAACGAGAATACAAACATTTTTCTTAACAATATACAAGGCGTAGATAAAATACGCTCGACAAGTTCATCTTATATGTGACAGTGTTATGTCCCCAGGGAAGATACTTTATGAAATGTCGTCGCATTATCATTTACAGTGTCGTTGACTTTCCTCTAAAGACGTAAAGTACTTCTTGCAAATATTGTATGCAGACGATCTTACATCGTGGTTACAGATTTTAAACTTATTTGGGTTTCTTGATGTTTTCTTTGTTTAAGAGTTTCCTCGCATATAGAATTGAATGAGGCACACATTCCGAATAAATGTTTATTAATTATATTTATTAAAATGTACATGTTTTCGAATAGGTGATGGAAGATTGCTACTTCAAAATATCTAGCTTTGATGCAATAGTAAGAGTTTGTACCCAGTACAGCAAAACACGGCAAAAAGTCTACAAGAAATTAAAAAAAAAAACAATGAAAAGGTTTCGATCGTAAAATATACATCTTAAGAGTACAAAACTATTTCTTGAGTAGAAAATAAAGCGACTCTTTACAACACGAAATTATTTCTACGAGTTTCTTTACAAAATGATAACAAATTCATTACGTTTTGGAATAATCTTTATTATTAAAACATGAAATATTATAACTGAAACGCAACATGAAGTCACACTTAGTGTTATCCTTTCCTTTTGATACAACTTCTGTCCTTGTAATCTAATATCATCCTTCATCAAAGAGATTCTCTCATTAAGGTTTTATATTTACGGTACATTACACTGATCTGGGCCAAACATAAATGATTTTATAACAATATTTGTGAATGGGTAGTCTTTAATTGTTAATAAAAAAAAACGCAAAAAGGTCGATTACAAGCATGTTTCTTGATATAGAAAGATCTTTCTGAGTGGAAGTTCTTCTTTAACACGCCTGGGAAAGATCTTGATGAACTTACATTTAAAATATAATGCACATATTGTCTATCTGCCTATCTGCCACAATACTTATGTTCAGTACATAATCCTTGGCGGTCAAAAAGTTGAAAAAGACATTGATAATAAACGTTCAATGCATGGATATAGCCAATAAAATAATACTTTTTATTCATCCCTTCAAGTTCAAATACCCATCTTTTATAACATATTTCAATTATTTAATTGAAATATATTACTTGTAATTATTAAAAAAAAAATTGCTCTTAGATAGTTACTTAAAAATAACCTTGATCTAAGTAGGAAATGGCCTAATACTTTACTGATACTTTACTATACCTTTTTTTTAAAGAAACGATGTTGGAATTGTTTGGTTAATTATCAAACCTAGGTGCGTATTTGAACTCAAATATGAGTTAAAGATGAGCGTAGAATGGTGTGAGATTATTGTAGTCAATCAATCACATTGAATCATTTAAACGAATAATTCTGGTAAAAGAAAATCATCAACGGAACTAATTATTTTCATACATTATATTTCTACCTTTGATATACTCCGATGAAATGAGCATTGTTCGGTTTGAACGAATCCCTCATAATACATTCATACCCAGTCATCCAGTGCTAATGAATGTTGGAGCAGGACAATCGCAGAAGCCATTTAATTAGCGAGCAAGTGTTGCATTGTGGGCTGATTATCTCCAGCGCGTTGTATTCATGTTGAAACTATGAATTTGTAAATGAGATGTTCACTTAGTTTGTGGTTGTCCAGAAAAACAATCTCTCTAGTAGATTCAAATCAAGATTTTTTGGAATCGTTTTCAGTTAAGGGATATTGCATGGATAACACATTTAGCATTGATGGTGAAAGATTGCAAAATGGGGTATACTCAATATGACTCAACGTTATTCCTTGAAATAAAAAAAAATAGTTCTAGACTGCGTGCTGGGTGAAACCTTCTACGTGCTGTTGAGAATAATAGTTCTGAGCCTAATTCCATACTAATTGTGGGCACACTATATCGTGGTATTCTTAGACAGCCATATATGATAAACCAAATCTGTAATAACTTGTTTGCGTAATTGACTAGTTTTTATTAGCTTCAAATTTGAAGGACGCCGTTTTCTACTCCAAGTGAGATCGTTACTGGTACCAGATTTCATTTGTCATTGGACTATTCTTTAATCGTGCTATTTTGCTAAAAGGTCAACCTTACATAGAACAAGATCAGGTTTTGAGCCGTGCCCTTACAATAAAGTTCAAAAATGCTTATGTGGAGTATATAAGTGATAAAAACTCTACTGCACTAAAATATAACAGTGTGAACATTATCAAGTAATAAAAAAAAACAAATATAAGTATTTTTTTTTAATCCAACACAGTATACGAGTGTTATAGATAAAGCCACTATGCAATTAATTAAGCTATATATTAATAACATTTATTTTGTATGAGCTCCTATAGCGCTCTTATTACAGGACGTCGATCGCAAACACGTTGGATGAAGTTGTCCACTAAAGCTTTATCGCCATGCAATCCCACCCAAGTGGTTTTTATAAAAAACATCCAGTCTACTTATCTATTAAATGGTATATATTACGGATATCCTTACGTACAAATTTGGAATTTAGCCCCTCCCAAAGAATTAAGTACACTCTATTCTTTCAGTTCAAAAATATAGCATAATTCTTACCAGGCAGCATAAATCGGATCGTCGTCCATGACAACCCTGAAAATGTAGAGGACACATGTCAGGAGCTTGAAGAGGAGGTTGGCAATGCGAATACGAAGGCCTGGAACAGAAATAAAGTATGAGTCATGTAAGCCCCAGAATCACAAAAAAAAGTTGAGGACACAGAAAAAGAAGGCTAAAGCAAATGTGGAGAAAAAAAATGAGGATGAATCAAGGGAAGAGCTGGAGAGAGGTAAAGAAGCTACAATGAAACCGTTTTAGATAGTGCTGTTTTGTTGAGACTCTATGATTGCTAAAATTACGAGCCACAGGAATTAAGTTATTAGGTTGTGATGAGTATTGCATATAGGCCTAAGAAAACCACAAAATACACGAATTTAAACAAAAGACTTTGTTTTAGTAGGTACATAATAGAGTGACAAAAGGATTGAAGCACATAATTAGTATTGCATAGTTAAGCTAAATCCTACAACATGAGGAACGGTAATTTATTTTACAGTATATTTTTACATAATGAAGTAATGCATGGATTAAAATAATTCATTAAATGCTTAAATCATGTTTGGATATCAAGTAAAGGAACACAACGTCTCTTCATTATTAAGTCTGCAGTATTTACTGTCTGTTCAAACAAAATGTTAGTTTAGTGTTCAGTAAAGAGTATCCTTATTTTGCTGAACTACACTTGCAATTATTTATAAAAAAAACAATGAAACAGGACCTAGAAAAATATTACAAACTACACTTATAAACCACAAGTTTTTATAGTAGTCATTTATGCTGAAGACGGTCAAAATCAGCCGATGTTAGCTTAACTTTAGTTTATTTTCTTCTACATAAAAACAAGAACATACATAATGAAAATATTAATTATGTTCGCTACTATCTCTCTTACTAACTGTTAACGAATAATATCCGTAGAAATCTAGCATTTTGAAAATCTGAATCTGACTCATTCTGTTAGTGGGATTTAAAAGCAGTAAATGCTTAAGTGGGAGTAAATGAAAAGAAAACAGAGGCGGAGAAAAGGAATCAGCCTGGACGTTTACAAGTCCAACCTAAGTTGAAGCGCTGTTACCACAAAGTGGTCTACTCTCGGATGTCTTTAACTGCCCACCTTCTAACAGTATGTATATGAAATGTAACTAAAATAATTTAAAATAGTTTGTACTGCTTACTTGATCGCTGGTTTTTGATGAAGTACAGTTGCAGCCGCTCTTTGAAGGTGTTTTCGTTTACGTAGTACTCCACTCGGACTCTGAAACAAAATACAAATTGTGATTATTTCTGAAATTATCTATTTTTAATGCTAATGAGGCTTTTTAAACATTGATAGTGGTTCTGTAGAATTAACCAACATTTTTCTGTACAGGTTTTCATGACAACGTTTTAGCCAAATATGACCTTGATCTGGAAACATAAGAGAACATTTTACGCAGGTAAAGTACTTTGTTAGCTAGTGGAATTTTATACACAAGCTTCCAGGGGTGAGGTCCCTAAACTAGAGAATACGATTTTTAGGCGTCTCTAGTTCTCTTTACGATGTGCTTAAACAAACACAAATAAACACACATTCCAAATTAATTAACAGTTTGGGTGTTATTCGAAGACACTAACATAATACCCCCGCTTTCAATTTCAAACTAACATTCAGTAGTTTTGCATTTTGCTTTTAATATGTGTAGAAATAACACAAGACATACTAAAATAGATGGGTTTTCATTGACGGACCAGTTACTGATTGTTTTGAAAAGGAGGTCAACGATATAAAAATACAGGATTTATATAAAACTATAATGCTTCTGTAGCAAACTGTAGTCTATATTGATGAGTATAATTTATCTTGGCATTTGTACTTTATTGATAAAGTTTAATTCATAATTTCTAATTTGTAGCGTACAAGCTCACTTTTATAAACAATATTTTATATATATATATGGATCTTTAAAAATAGTTTTCGTACATAAAATTAATTTTTTGAACTTCAACTTGGTGTCTATATAAAAAAATTAACAAGAACCAAAGGTACTAGATTTAGAGAGTTTAACTTTGCATTTATACTATTACGAATTAAAATGGTTCAAGGTACAACTCCTACACTGTTTCAAGGGAAAACAATGTGAAACATTTTCAGACTACCAACCTGTGTAGAGGAAGGAAGTAAATGCAACACTTATAAAATATGTTATAAGTTTCAGGGTTCAGGGGAGGGATTACTGAAGCTGCAAGAGAAGGGTTTTATATTCACGTAAAGCCCACATTTTACTACCAGCCTTACCCACCTGTCATAGGGGAGCTCGGCGCGTGTCAAACCTACAAATTCGCTACACTTTTGTAACTGTAGACGAAACAACGTGCAGTACATACAACAACAGTTGCACGAGAGTCTAAATAAATGAACATTGAGAAGACAATATGATTAAATAATTATTTCATGTGGAATTAGTTTCATGTAAGGGGTTTATCGAGTGTATGTGCTAATTTATGGCTTGAATACATAATATTTCACAAATTACAAGTCAGTTATAAAAAAATATGAAAAAGTAGATATAATATCAAATCAGTTAAAAGGAAAAGCTGACGTACGATGATTAATCATTGATAAAGAAAACGCCTCAATATATTTCATATAAGTTTGCCAAAAGACTGTTTAATAATTAATATATAAACGGTCATATGTTTTACAATTGTTTTGTTAAAAAACAGAAAATAGTTTAGAATGTTGTTTTGTTGAATACAATAAAGAAGATACCTAGTTTTTGTTAAAAATTTATTTTGTCATTTCTAATGTTTGATATTAATCGTCCGTGATATCAAAGGAATTGAATCACGTACAGTATAGTGACAATATCAATTGGCGACCGTGACAGGACTTTAAGAAGAAATGACAAAATTAGGAGAACCACCAGCAGACCCGGTGAGTATGTTACTAGTAAAGATTTCGGCACAGTTAGATACTCGATCAAAACAATTGGATACTCTTTTGGCAGGCATCAAAAATGTAATTTCATCCTCCATTAAAAAGATTTCGGAAAACCAAAACCAATCAAAATTAGAAACTAAACTTATTACTAACACCTATGAAACAGACAAATTGGACATTGAAATTAAATACAATGAAATCAAATTCAACAACCGGGAAAATATCTTGGAGTTAGCCGAGGACTCATCGGCCATCCCGGGAGGTATAGAGATCCTACGTCAGACAGAGACGTTTGATGACTCATCGGCCATCCCGGGAGGTATAGAGATCCTACGTCAGACAGAGACGTTTGATGACTCATCGGCCATCCCGGGAGGTATAGAGATCCTACGTCAGACAGAGCCGTTTGATGACTCATCAGCCATCTCGGGAGATGTACAAGAGATCATGCGGCCAACAGACAGGGTCGAGGACTCAACGGTCATCACAGGAGGTGCAGAAGAGATCTTGCGACAGACAGTGATGGTCGAGGACTCAACGGTCATCACAGAGGGTGCAGAAGAGATCTTGCGACAGACAGTGATGGTCGAGGACTCATCAGCCATCTCGGGAGATAGACAAGAGATCCTGCGGCCAACAGACAGGGTCGAGGACTCAACGGTCATCACAGGAGGTGCAGAAGAGATCTTGCGACGGACAGTGATGGTCGAGGACTCATCAGCCATCTCGGGAGATAGACAAGAGATCCTACGGCCAACAGACAGGGTCGAGGACTCAACGGTCATCACAGGAGGTGCAGAAGAGATCTTGCGAGTGACAGTGATGGTCGAGGAATCATCAGCCATCTTGGGAGATAGACAAGTGATCCTGCGGCCAACAGAGAGGGTCGAGGACTCAACGGTCATCACAGAGGGTGCAGAAGAGATCTTGCGACGGACAGTGATGGTCGAGGACTCATCAGCCATCTCGGGAGATAGACAAGAGATCCTACGGCCAACAGACAGGGTCGAGGACTCAACGGTCATCACAGGAGGTGCAGAAGAGATCTTGCGAGGGACAGTGATGGTCTATGATTCATCAGCCATCTCAGGAGACGAGGATGGGATCCTGCATCGGACCAATTCTCCTGTGGTCACGTCAACCGCAACGGACACCGAGATACTACCTGCGTTCAATGTTACGTCGTGTGAATACTTTGAGGTGGAACACAAGCTAGGGAAGGGAGTGTACCTCTTGAGGTCTGATCCACCAATTAAGGTTAATGTTAAGGTTTTAATGTTGGAGTTAAAAATACTCCCTCAAACTCTCCGTGAAGCAACTCAAGGCGAAGATGATGTGCAAGAAGCAGAAGACCATAACGATGCCTCACCTGGGTATAACTTAAGGTCTAGAAAGAGGAAGATTTGAAATATATATTGAGGGTTTTGGGGGGGATGATTGACGTACGATGATTAATCATTGATAAAGAAAACGCCTCAATATATTTCATATAAGTTTGCCAAAAGACTGTTTAATAATTAATATATAAACAGTCATATGTTTTACAATTGTTTTGTTAAAAAACAGAAAATAGTTTAGTATGTTGTTTTGTTGAATACAATAAAGAAGATACCTAGTTTTTGTTAAAAATTTATTTTGTCATTTCTAATGTTTGATATTAATCGTCCGTGATATCAAAGGAATTGAATCACGTACAGTATAGTGACGATATCAAAGCTGTTGATGAATAAAACAAATCACTCAACTAAACAATGATGATTATCACAAACTATAATTATCACTCTAAATATAGTATCATAGGTATGTCCCATGTTGATAGTTCAAAAGTTCAATGTTGTTGGGTCAAACAATTCGATAGTTCAGCTTAGTTAACTAAACAAAACTTGTATTTTATTATCATAAACTGGTACATTTCCAGGTTTTATAAACCTGGAAAGGCCTTTTGTAGGCTTACTTTAAGAATTGCCTCCCTTCTCCTCCAATGCTAAAAGCCTACATAGTTACACTATCATTCAACCTATAATTCTACTTCATGACTTACTCAACAGTCACAACCAGAAATACCTTTACAGTAGCTGATCATCTGAAATGTTCCAAGAGTTATTGAGTTACTAAAACAAGTACTCAAGAAAACACCTGAGCAACACAATCCACAAACTTATTAACACGTCTAAAACCAAGAGTAATAACGCAAGTACTTATTTAAGTAAAAAGAAGGCATAAATGAATATCTAAAAATACGAGTGATTGCTTGTTCAAAAGGAACAACCAATTCTTACAGTAATTAGGTAAAGGCAACGGTTTATAAGTTTAATCAAAGCATTTGTTGTGTCGGTTTCCGTAGTAGGAGAAACTAATCACTTTAAGGGAAAGTGTTTCATATACGTGGATCTATTATTGTAGATATGCCAGGGAACGAACTCGTTCTTGTGACTTCGAAGATTGAGAAGCTAACCACTACACAAACAAGACACATATTATGCATAATTTATATAAAATAGTTTTATTAAAACAACTAAGAATTATTCACAAAGCATTGCTGGATGAAGAAATGTGTAATCAATTCAATAGGACATCTTAAGATATATCTTTGTGAGTCTAATGTGGGTCTGGGTGATGGCTAGTTTTGTAATGGGTATAACTTCAATGTAACGGGTATAACCACATAACTCCTATGTAATGGGTATAATTTCAATGTAATGGGTATAACTTCAATGTAATGGGTATAACTCCTATGTAATGGGTATAATTTCTTGATCAGCATCGTAAATTACCTGAAAGTACAAAAAATACGTCGAATAACACTTTGAAAAATATGTTTACACTTATCTATTGGCTCACTAGACGATAAATACATATAAAAGATGGTAAGTGGTGATCGATTTCGATTGTAAACTCCATCATTACACCCAATAGGCGAATGATCATTCGCCTATATATAGTCAATTCACTTATAGTCAATAGTATAAGTGTAAAAATATTACAAGAGTTATTTGACACATTTTGTGTATTTTCAACTAGTTTTAAATAAAGAAAGAGGTTTTAAAAGACGCAACAAACTTGGATAAGGGCAAATTTTATGACTCAGCTGTCTGTCGGGTAAGCTCATCTCAGAAATACAGCAACCGCACCGTCGCACTCACAGCCTAGTTCGGCTTATATTGTGAAGGAAAATTTAACAGAGGGCAAATTTAGAAAAAGAAAAAATTAAAAACTGATACCACATTTTTGTTTATAAACGGATTTTATTAGTTTTAGGTTATGCTGAATCTTCTTGTCGTCGCCTCATACGTATAAGAAGCACAAATAAATTATACGAATTGGAAAACTTGGTT